CGCAAAAGGGGATCCGGTGACCCCGGGACACCGCAATGCGGTCATAAGTCCAAATCAGTCACCAAGCTTGAAGTTTGATCACAGGACGCTGCAAAAGGATGAAAACCGGTCCTAAGTCACATTTTTTTTCCAGTGCCACTGTGAACGGTCACTAAACGAACCGCTGCAAGACGAGGACTACCTGCGCGGTGGAAAAATAATAATGCATGCTATCAATGAACCCAACTGACATTTTTTTTGGGGGGGGGGGTTTCCACTTTATTTAAAACGGGAAAGGATTAGACGGCAACCCCTTTCTCTCCCCCATCACATGGGAGGAGGGCGCTCTTCCAGGCAACCGAGACCCTCCCTCCTTTTGCTGGGACACCCGAGGTCAGACCGCTCGGGGGAGGCGCCCAGGTGGTTAGAAGCCTCCCACCGTCCCCGGAGAGGGCACTCTGCACACGCCCAGGAGACCACCGTCGCCCCGTGCCCCCCCCCCCACTCCTTCCTCCCCCCTCCAAGGTCAGCCGGGCGAGCTCCTACCCGCGCGTGAACCGTCCCCATGGCCTCCGCCTCGGCCTCGAAAGCGCGCCGCTTCGCCTCCCGCGCATGCGCAGCGGCCCACCGCCTCTTCTCCTCCTCTTCCGGAAGCTCCGAGGCGAAGGTCGCTTCTTGATTGGGCCTCAGATGAAAAAGGGGCGGGAAAGGATCGCTTCCCCACCCCGCAACCCCCGCCAGCGTGAGTCTTTAGAGATAGAAAGTATAGCGAGACCCCCGTGCTAACACTTCCGGCAGTTCTTTTCCAGCTGTTTCTCTCCTTAGGGCAAAGCTACGAGAGGCCCGAGCGGCCACTGGAGGGCAACAAAGTCACGCTGGAAACAAACCCTCCACTGCCCCCTGGCTGAAGGTGGTAGGGAGGTTTGCCCCATTTTACGACCTTCCTTGACGCAGCTGTTAAGTGAATCACTGCAGTTGATAGGTCAGTAACTTGGTTGTTAAGTGACTCTGGCTTCCCCACTGAGTTTGCTTGTCCGAAGGTCGATTACATCCCCTTGGGATACTGCCACCCGCATAAATGTGAACCAATTGCCAAGCGGCTGAATTTTGATCAGGTGACCATGCAAGGGTCGTAACTGTGAAAAAATGGTCACAAGTCACTTTTGCTAGTGCCGTTTAACTTTGAACGGTCGCTAAACAAAGTCTTGTAAGTCAGGGGCTACCTGTAATCGTACAACTATAGAATCATGGGATCAAAGGCTTGGAGTTCGTTTGCTCAGTGGAGGATCTGCCAGAAATGTATTTTTCAAACTTGGCAACGTTAAATAGAATAGAATTCTTGTATTGGCCAAGTGTGATTGGGCACACAAGGAATTTGTCTTGGTGCAAATGCTCTCAGTGTACATAAAAGATAAGATACATTCGTTGAGAGTCAAGAATCATAAGGTACACCACTTAATAACAGTCATAGGGTACAATAAGCAATCAAACCATACTAGACACAGTCAGTATATATCATAAGGATGCAAGCGACAAAGTTACAGTCATACAGTCACAAGTGGGAGGGGATGGGTGATAGGAACGATGAGAAGATTAACAGTAATAGTGCAGACTTTATAAATAGTTGGACAGCGTTGAGGGAATTGTTTAGCAGAGTGATGGCGTTTGGGAAAAAACTGTTCTTGTGTCTAGCTGTTCTGGTGTGCTGGGCTTCATAGCGTCGTTTTGAGGGGAGTTGAAACAGTTTATGTCTGGGATGTGAGGGGTCTGTAGATATTTTCACAGCCCTCTTTTTGACAGAATACAGATCCTCAATGGATCTGGTTGGTAGTAATTGAGATATAGATTTTAATTCCCAGAATCCCCCAGCCAACATGCCAAAATAAAAAAACTGACCACTTCATGTTGCAGCCTTACTAAAGGCTGGCAACTGATAAAATCTTCTTGTGAGGTTTTGCTTCTCCCTTTTTGGAGAAGAGGGAATGATTCTGCTCCTTGAAGGCCCTTGAAGATTGATGACCTGTCACCCCTAACCATCTCTTTTGAAGGCTTAACATGCCCAAATCTTTTCACCATTCCTTGCAGGGCGTAGTTTTCTCACCCTTCACTATCCTCTTTGGCCTTTCTCAAGACATTATTCCAATTCATCCTTGCTATTTTTCACTCTGGTGCTCCTCATCGTTCCTGGTGGAATCCAACCAAGGAAGAATGGATTAATCAGTTCCCAAAGTGTGGACTTTATGCTCCTGTTAATGCAGCCCAAGATAGCCTTGGCATTTTTAACAACTGCATCACACTGCTGGTTCATGTTTAACTGGGGGTCAACAAAGTCCCGCTTAGATATGCTACTACTAAGCCAAGTCTTCCACATCCTATCCTGCTTCCTTACTTTTTTTGCCTCTGCCCAGCTGCAAAACTGTCTATTTCTCTCTATTAAATGCCATCTTTTTTTTTTTTTTTGGCCATCCGCTCAACCCTTGCTAGACCATTTTTTGAGTCTTCTCACTCTCACCTGAGAGGAAACCTATCCCAGCTTTGTGTCATCTGTCAACTGCCCACCAGAGATGGTATTCAGCAAGTTCTGACCAGTTCTGGAGAACCGGTAGCAGAAATTTTGAGTAGTTTGGAGAACTTGCAAGTACCACCTCTAACTCGCCCTGTCCCCATCTATTCTCTGCCTCCTGAGTCCCAGCTGATCGGCTGGGTCTTCTTTTGTTGCCCTGCACAGGAAAACAGAACTGGAAAGCAGGTTAGTGGGGTGGGGAAAGAATGGGGATTTTGCAGTAACTTTCCCTCAGGAGTGGGGAGAGAATGGAGATTTTGCAGTACCCTTCCCCTGGAGTGGGGTCGAAATAGGGATTTTATAGTATCCTTCCCCTGCCACATCCACCAAGCCACGCCCACAGAACCGGTAGTAAAAAATGTTGAATCCCACCACTGATGTCCCCTCAACTCCCTCATCCAAGCTCATTGAAAACACACTGAACAGGAGCATCCACCGGCCCTCCATCTGATATTCTGAAGGTCACTCACAGAGGTGTTTCATTCTCTTGAGGGCTCCGTTCAGCTGACCACGTGTCCTTCTCACAGCATCATTCAGCCATCTTTTACCCATTTGCCACATTCTGAAGGAGAATGCAATCAAGCTCTCCATCTAAAAAGCTTTGCTTAGATCAGGGGTGTCAAACTGGACTTTGAGGGCTGGAGCAACATTGTAGTTCTCTGCGGGCAAGCCAGGGAGGCAGGGGAGAGACAGGACAGATGCCTCCTACAGCACCCCACTGGCCAAAATGGGGCACACGGGGCCACGCATAGCCCCCCCCCCCCTTATTTTCAGCCTGGATGGCCTCCTGCAGCACTTTACCAGCCAAAACAGGGTGTGGAGGGACTGTGTGTTCCCCCCCCCCAACCCATTTTTGCTAGCAGAGGCACTGTGGGCCAATCCTCTGCTATTTCCAGGCCAGCCCTACAGGCCAGATATAAGGACCCCACAGGATTTATCTGCCCACAAGCCTTGAGTTTGACGTGCCGAGTTTGACATATAGATACTACGGCTATAGCATTTCTGCATGCCGCTTAGCTAGTCACTCTATCAAAGAAGAGCATAAAGTTAATTTGACAGAATTGCTGGTCTTCACTGGTCTTCAGGAATTCTCCAGGATTTCTAAGAGTGGTTCTTGAGTCATCTCTTCTAGTCCTTCAGGACTTTGAGAGATCAACCAGCTGGTCCTGGAGACCTGAATTCATTTAAATTAGCCAAGTTCTCTCTTAGTCCCTCCTTGTGTATATCCTAAACTTCAGTTTCCTCCTTCTCTTGGCAGCATAAGCCGGTACCCCATTTCCTTTCTGAGATATGAAGTTCTGCATTCTCATTTTGATTATCTCTCATGATAGACCCATACATTCTTTGGATTTTCTTATTTCTAACTTATCAAAAGTAGTTTTGTTTTTGTAATTGCTCAAGTTTCAGTTTATTCTGAACACCAGCCTTTTTGGAAAGTACTTCTATAGTTTCTGAAGACTACTTATATTCTTCTTTGGTGATGTGCCCCTATTTCTTGTATTTTTTTCCCCTCTTAAGTTTTTTAGAGTTTTATTTATGATAAGGTTCCAAATCTCTCTGGAGCCATACATTCTACCAATTCAAAACTATACTTAAAACATTTGTGGTTGATATGATGCTTACTCTTCGGTTTCACACTAATAAAGCCCTTTTCAAGTTGAGTTTGACTTCTGGTGATTTCATGGATACATCCCTGTATGTTTTCTTGGTCACAGAATGGAATTGTTCTCTCAGGACATAATTTCAGCTTCTCAGACTAATGTAAACTGTTGAATTTCCTGAACACTTTGCATGAGAGGTTCAACTTTGCTGAATTATTGGAAGCCAAGATCACCAGAAATCTGGAATGCTTAATTCCTAAGTCACAGCATCTCTAAATATTGTTACTTATTTTATTGAAGGTAATCTATGTACAATAAGGCCATTCTTTTCTGTTCCATTTACTACAAACTGCAACTAAACAATTTTGCTCTGATATTTTGATCTATTCAAAATATTCTGTCTCTTATAAATTCATTTTTAATATTTTTTTGTGTTCCATTTTCCACAGCCTGCATTTTCTTTTCAGTGCTTTAAAAAATAAAGAACTTTTGACAAATTTAGAAAGAACTCTGAACCCAGATAATTACTGGAGAGCTATAATCCTTTTGTGTATATACACATGGATTTTGCATTCGGTTTAAAACCTCCACCTTGCCTCCCCACCAAAATGTCTCTGTTTAAACGACTTGATCTACCCCCAATCTCAGAATATAATTCATAAAATGTTAAAACAAAGCCAAATACTCTGCATGGATTTTATGTTTTCCAGTCACTTGAATTTTTTATGAAAAGGATCAGATCGCATAAACTATTGTTTGTAATGAGCTCTGTTAAATCACTGTGAAAAAAGGAATTATAGAAAGGAACATTTTACCATTTGCAAAAAAAAAAAAACTCATAGAAACACAATGTTTACTGCTTTGGGCGATAATTCAAATGTCAACTTGCACAATTATGAACAATTAAAATGGTATAGAAATGCAGTATATTCATAGATCACATCATAAATCTGTTTTATCCAACAATTAAGCATTTGACTTGTGATAATGAACAAAATACTGTGATCACCAAACACAATGTCTCTTTATTCTTCTTTAAAAACACTGCTGATTGCAGAAATATTACAAATAGTTCATTTTGGAAACACAAAAAAGTTTAGGAAAATAAGTATGACCAGACGTCACACAAAACAGTACCTAGGCACTGGCTGAAAATAGCACCAAAAGAGTATAAATAAGTCTCTGTCCATGCTATTAAACCTTTAACACTGTGAAAAAAACTGTTTTAACTACATTTCATTCCCCTCCTCTCCACTCAGCATTTTTTAGATTTTCTTTAAAATTCCTAAAAGGAAAAACTCTTAACAGATTTTTTTTGTCAAAACAAAACCTGCTAAAAAGTTGACAATTAATTTGAAATAAATAAAAGCAGCTGGTTGGATTCTTATGGGGATATTATTCTCCACTTAATTTGTAACAAGTTTCCAACTTATCCCTAACCCTTTGATTGGAAAATTTATAATACCTCACAAGAAAATATTCTAATAAAGAACTGCCATTACAAATACTTTAACCCATCACAGTGCCAAAGTGTAAAGCTGGTAAGTTGCTCATAGCAAAAGTCTGATTTTCCAAAATACAACTTCAATATTTGTGCATCATGTGCAAGAATTCCTGTCACTTTATGCAGCAAATATTGACACACAAAATATCCAGTACTGTATTCCACAGAAATTGTTGAATCCATTTGAAATATGGCTGACTTATGATGTCACATTATTGTCTCTTCCTATTATTATTGCAAATTAAAGCTTAAGTTTTATGTGTGTTCATAAAGCCTGGACTGAATAATATATGGAATTTATTTATAATTTAAATTTAAAAGGAAGAAAAGAGGGTATCGTATGAGTTTTCTGTTCTGAATGCCTTTGCTCATTTTTTGCTCTGAGGTAAATCAAGTTACAGTGAAGAGCATGGGAAAAACTTTCCACAAATTCCAAATCACATTATAGTTTTTCTCCCGTTAAGGAAACGGGACAGTATATTCGTTAGTGACAATCAGCTCTCAAGCTCACTAATACAATTTTAAAACCCTGCATCTCTCTTCCACCAATGAATTATTTTTTTTTATGGTTCATGCTGCTTGGGAATTCTGGGAAATGAAGTCTACACTTTTGGAGGGCTTCCAGCTTAGAGTGGTGTCTTCAGTGAACTTCAAGGAAAAAAAAATAGCAGATGGAAGGCATTTTGGAGTGAGCCCCAAGGATTAGAAAATCCTTTGCTTTTCTTGTGGCAGTCAAGCAGTTTCAAATAAAAAAAAGAAGAAGTGACATGAGACTCACTCCATCCCAGCTGGTGCTCCTGGAGATTAATTTCAGGAAAAGTCCAATAAAAAGAGGAGAAATTGGGACCTCCAGAAATTCCCTGACACCTTCTGTTTCCAACGTCTCCGATAACATTAACAATATAAACAACACATTTTTAATGAAAAAATAGTTTCTCCTGTTTAAAAAATAAGCGTATCGAACATCGTTCCTCTCTGCTCCCAATCTGCCTACCTGTGATAGGCAGGGTGTTTTCTTCATTTTGAATGAGACTCCTCTGCCAGATGCGTCAAGTTAACAAAAGGAACTCCTCAAAGATCATGGATTCTCTATCTCTTTAAGCAGGAGATGTGTAATTCCACACAAGTGTGGAAAAAAAAACTTCTCAAAAAGTCACATAAGAGTTACAGATCTTACTGTAATTTTTTTTTAACAACAACCAAAAAAGTTAATGTCCTACAAATGCTTATCCCAATATCAAACCATCAACAGAGGAGTTGCAGATTGTCTTCCTGCTGAATTTTTGTTTGTTTCTTTGGGTACAAAAATGCTCTACTGCGCTTCAGCTTTCTCAATCCTTTGTCCACTATCAAGAAACCAGACAAGAAGCCTAGTCGTCATAAAAGATGCCTCAAAGGCAACAGAGTTGTAAACAAAGACTTCCTAGTGTTTCCCAACCTCAGCAACGTTCAGGTGGGGTGGGCTTCAACTCCCAGAATTCAGATGTAGTAGTGTGTTGAGTTGAAAGTCTACTTCAACTTAGCACCTCAAAGTTGCTCAGGTTGAGAAGCAGTTATCCTAAATATTGTTTGGCAAAGTGCTAGAAGAACACATACCTCAAAGATGTAAATTTCCCTGCCTAATGTTGTAGCCCCCCCACTAGCTAATCTTCAGAGACAGAATAAAAACTTTTCTCGGAGGATGAGTCAATATCCGTGGACACTCTGGATGTTTCGGTGTCCATGAAAAAGGAAGTGACGGAACCAGAGATGTCGGAATTACTACAGGCACCCTTCCCCTTCATCAAGTCTTCGTGATAGGGGAGACTCCAGAGCCATTCTTCAAGATTGGGGGAAGAGCGAGAGACTTTAGGAGGTGGGTAGGACAGATGAAGGCAAGGCTTCCCTGGGGCCGTCTGGCATCTTCTGAGCAGGATTTCACTTATTTTGCTGTAAGGACAACAAGAAATCATCATTAGTAAGCCTGGGATTGTTTTTTCTGGGGAGAAATAACAGAATAACAGAGTTGGATGCGACCTTGGAAGCATTCTAGTTCAAACCCCAACTCAAGACTCTGAGAAGACTATACCAGTGATCGCCAACTATTGGGCTGGGGACCACTGGACGTCTGTGAGAAAATTTTGGTGGTCCGCAGAGAAACATCACCCCCAAAGCACTCCCCAAAGCAATTAATCCAGGGTTCATGGGAGCACAAAGCTGTGCTCCCACATGGCCCGTGGGAACACAAGGCTCACATTGCTTGCATTGCGAACAAACTCCACCAGAAATGAGTCTTTGGGACCCCGCAAGGCCTCCTGCTCCAAGAGGCTGTGCTGGCAAAGACTCATTTCTGGTGGAGTTTGGGGGAGAGAAAGAAAGACTTCTGCTGCTTCTGCTGCTTTCCTTGCATGAAGCTAAAAGTCTTTCTCTCTCTCTCTCTCTCTCTCTCTCTCTCCCCCTGAGAATGGAGGTGGAGACGGTATCCTGCTATCCCAAATAAAGAATGATTGATCGGTAGGAAAACGGGGTGGGGAATTTCCCAGGGTCTCTGGTCCATAGGATTTAAAATTATGAGTTTTGTGGTCCCGGAGGTCCAAAAGGTTGGAGACCCCTGCTCTACACCATTCAAGACAAATGGCTGTCCAGATTCTTCTTGGAAACCTCCAGTGATGGAGTGTCCACAACCTCTTAAGGAAACCCAGTCCACCGATTAATTGTTCTATCAGAAAGTTTCTCCTTAGTTCTAGGTGAGTTCTCTCTTCCACACATTACTTCTTTTCCTGTCCTCTGGAACTCTGGAGAATAAGCCCTCCTCCTCTTCATTAGCTGCTGTCATGTCAGCCCAGCCCTTCTTTTCATTAGACTAGACACACCCAGTTCCTTCCTCCATCCTTCATGTGTTTTAGCTGCCAGTCCCCTAATCATCTTTGTTGTTTTTCTTTGTGGTCTTTCTTGCATCCTTTAAATGTTACATTTTTTTTAAAATAGAGAATCTATTTAGCCATTTATAACAGGAAAAATGACACAGCAAAGTGGAAGAGAGGCTGCAGTACATCACTAAGGAATTACTCAAAATGGAGCAATTCCTATCTCCACTCCACCCCCCTTCATTTCAGGTAGAGAAAATGATATCGCGATACAAATTTTCCAGAGGTTGTCCAACTCCATTATGCTCTCAGAAATATTTTGTGCTTGGCCAAAGAAGTGGTCAAACATACCTTGGGGTCTTCAGGAGCCCTTTCATTGCTCGGCCATAGACTGAACCCAACATTTGGGAAAGCTGCCCCTGCATCCATTGCACATCCTCAGGGATGTCAGGAAACCACTGGACTAATCTGCAATCGAGAGAAAGGAGAAGGTCCTTCAAAACAAACTTTTTTCAAGATGGGTGCTTGTTTTTAAAGTGTTCACCCAAAACATCTCCTTTCGTGGTATCAGGTAATTTTTAGAAGGAAAAAAGTATTTATTGGCTTTTTTTTTTTTAACTGTATTAAAAATAAAAGTATTAATTGTTTTAACAGTAAAAAAATAACAAAAGGGTAAGATTTTCACAAGTGCATTCTTGCCAGGTACAAATAATGGACTTAAATAGATATTAAGGCTGTGACTAAAACATAGGTTAAGGATTTTTTAAAATATTACACACACTTTTGTTTATGAAGCTGAACACAAAATGAACAGGAAAATGAACATACTGGTATTTATGATTACCAGTAAGTATCCTCCTGTTACCAGTAAGTATAAACTGTACACACATAATACATTTTATAGCAATAACTTATATACATACCACTTCACGGGGCTTTACAGCCCTCTCTAAGCGGTTTACAGAGTCAGTATATTGCCCCCAACAATCTGGGTCCTCATTTTACCGACATCAGAAGGATGGAAAGCTGAGTTTCAACCTTGAGCTGGTGAGACTCGAACTGCTGGCAGCCGGTGATCAGCAGAAGTAGCCTGCAGTACTGCATTCTAACCACTGCGCCACCACACTTCTTATAAGTATAAACAGGAGTTAAGGAGAGAGTAATACAAATCAAACAGACCAATCTAATCTCAGCCATGAATTCACAAGATGGCAGGTTTTCTTACTGTTAAAGATATGTGAGCTCAATGGGCTTACTCCTAAGTAGCTTTACACTACATACAAGCTATGAGCAACTTTCTTTTCCTAAAGAACATCATTTATTTGCAACATATAGAGAACCAGTTTGTGACTTCTGATAATGACTTCTCATCTTCAAACCTAGGCAAGAAACCAGGTTTATCAGCCTCATCCACCCCACAGGGTTGTTGTTATGGGGAAAAATAGAAAGACAGAGCATTATATACCAGTGGTGGCTAACCTTTTTTGGGTCCTGTGCCGATAATTGCACGAAGACAATGCATACTGCCTCCCAATGCTCCTGCACATGTGATTCCCCACATGCGCCATGCACCTGCACGCACAATCCCCCACACGCCGTACATCTGCGCATGTGCGCACAATCCCCATGTGCTGTATATCTCTGCATGCACGCAATCCTCCCATGTGCGGTGTCTCTATGCATGCACGCATCTCCCATGCGCTCCCCCTGCCCATGCATGCCAGATACAAGACAATCAGCTGTCGGGTGGCGGTGGCGCACGCGCATAAGCAGTGGGGCTCTTCCGGGCAAGCTCTCACGTGCCGGCAGAAGTGGCTCTGTGTGCCACTTCCGGCATGCGTGCCATAGGTTCGCCAACACGGTTATATACACTGACTGCAGCTGCATTAAATAAAGGTGGGATATATCTATCTAGCAAACAGATAAATATATGCAGGTTTAGCCTGCAAGGTATTTTGGACATCTGTCAGAAAAACGGCCTCAGAAGGAAATGGAACAGTTTTTGGAAGAATAACACAGGAGTAAACTTTATGAAAAAGGTCCCCAATACCTTGAACATTTGGAAATTAGATCATATACACTCACCTTACAACCACAAAGAAGGCAGACTCTACCGGTAAAGTGTATGGTAGCATCATATAGGACATTAGTCTCATTGGGAGAAATTTTGAAAGTTGAGCATAGAGTCCACTTTTTTCTTTACAAGCCTCTTCTAATGCTGTAAAATTTAAATCATCAGAACTGAATTCATTCATGGACGATCATGCAAGTACAAATACGGCTGGGACGTAAATCAATGTTTTCCCCATCTGAAATGACTGAGGAGGCCTCTCTAGTATTCTAATCAGGTTATCATCAAATTACATTTTGCTTGATACATCTTTTAATTCATTTTAGTCCTCTTTTACTGGGATTCAATAACTGCAAATTCCCTGAGTCATGAAACTCTGGATCATCCTAGCATTGTGAATTAAAGACATTGCACTAACTCAGCTTGTCTAATTTCTAACTAAAATGGATTCATAGAAAAATCATTCTTTGACACTGAAATAAAATAAAAAATAAAACTGTTTTAATTTGGAAAAGGAAGCCAATTTGGGCTGTCAGGGGCTTGACAAACACACTGCATAGCTAAATCATCCAATAGTTCAAGCCAAACTTAAGTTAACATCAACTTGTCTTCCCATAATAATTAGGTGACAAATGTATCACGAAAGAATAAAGGAGGATGGTTAACCTAGTTTGATTATGTATATAGGTTTGATTATACACCCCTTTCCTGGAACATTCAGCAACCAAATTTCATCGGTGCAAAATGAATGACATTCACCAATGTAAATTCTGAAACAAAACTTTTTAAGTAAATTAATTCATGAAACCTTCAAAGTAGCCCATTTAATGGCCTGCTTATACTTTTCGCCAGCTAAAGGTAATTGCCAAATCTCTCCAGTCTTGTTTAGATAATAAATTAAACTGCTTCAGTACAAATTGAAAAAAAAAACCAAGCAGCAATATTCTCTGCGCTAAAAACATTAAACATAATTTTTTGCAATTAAAACCGTTAATTTAGAATTTTACCTTTATGTAGTCTAGGAGGCAGCTTCTCAAAGATAGTCCCATCCAATGGCCAGGATGTTGCCTTTAGCTGATCAATAAATATTTTTTTGTCTTGCATCTCTTTTTTGTCTTTAATTGCTGCATTTTTTCTATCATTGTATCCTGAGATTTGAGAATATCTCAGATGTTTCTGCTTGGTTAAGGCTAAGTCAGCAGATATTGATTCTTGAAGAAAACCTTAATAGATTAAAAAAAAACAAATGCTTCTGCTATGAGTGACAGTATGCAAAGCAATGCAGACAGTTAAAAAAAAACCAAGAAGGTTTTTTAATCTTCACTTTCAAATCTTGGACTAAGAATGTTATGCTTGTTCGCAATTGCGTTGCAACTTCCACCAGCTTCTTCCAACTTTTAAAGGCACTCTTGCTAGCAAACGGCAATGAATTAGCAAACATCTAGTTTTATAGCATGCCCTTTTTGGTAAGACTTTGGGTTGCTTAAAGTACCAATGTTCATTGGATGAAAGTATGTCAGAAAGAAAATTGCAAAGCTACTTCCAACAGCATACGTAACGTTCAAATGAAAATCTGTCAAATTGAATACAGGTAGCCCTCCAGTTACGACCCATTGGAGCCCCAAATTAATCTTGCTGAGTGAAACACTTGTTAAGCAACTTTGTCCCACTTTACGACTTTTCTTGCCACAGCTGTTAAGTGATTCATTGCATTTGTTAAGTTAGCCACCCGGTTATTAAGTGAAGCTGGATTCCCCATTGACTTGGCTTGTCAGAAGGTTGCAAAAGGGAATCACACGAGATCTCGGGACACGGCATCCGTCGTAAGTATGAACCAATTGCCAATCATCGGAATTTTGATCCTGTGACCAAGGGGATGCTGCAACGGTCATAAGTGTGAAAAAACGGCCATAAGTCACTTTTTTCGGTGCTGTTGTAACTTTGGTCACAAAATGAACTGTTGTAAGTCGAGGACTACCTCTACTGGTGATCTTCGAATTACAACTTCAGTTGGAAGCAGAATCAGCATGGCTAACTGTCAAGCAAATAATTTGACAACCGTTTTTGCCACGGTTGTTTAAGCGAATCACTGCTGTTACTAAGTGAATCATGCAGTCATTCAGTGAAGCCAGCTCCCCCCCCCCCCCCCCCCCCCTTTGACTTTGCTTGACAGAAGCAGGCTGGGAAGGTTGCAAAGGATCCCAGAATAATGCAAACAACATAATTACATGCCAGTTGCCAAGCAACGGAAATTTGATCAGAAGGTAGCGGGGAATGCTGCCACGGTTGAAAAAAATATGACGAATAGTCATGTCACCTTGTTTAGTGCCGTTGGAATTGGAAATGGCTGCTAAACAAACGTTGCTCAATCAAGGATTATTTTCGTGTTCAGAAGAATCCTCTCTGGCTTGATTGGAACTCAGCCTGTGTTACTAACTCCTCCTGGTCAGAGTGCCTTCCAAATGAGCCCCTGTTGCAGAGCTGGTTTTCAGCAGGTTCTGGCCAGTTCTGGAGAACCAGTAGTGGAAATTTTGAGTAGTTTGGAGAACCAGCAAATGCCACCTCTGACTGGCCCCGTCCCCATCTATTCTCTGCCTCCCATTGAGTCCCAACTGATTGGCTGGATCTTCTTTGGTTGCCCTGCACAGGAGAACGGAGCTGGAGAGCAGGTTAGTGGGGTGGGGAAGGAATGGGGATTTTGCAGTATCCTTCCCCTGCCATGCCCACTAAGAGACGCCCACAGAACTGGTAGTAAAAAAAAATTGAATCCCACCACTGCCCTGTTGTCTCCGGAGTGCAGCTCCCCTTGGGCCACTTGGTGGCTGCTGCGACCAACCGCTGCCCACAAGATGGCCATGGAGAGGAGGAAAGCCATCCTCCAGGGCCAAGAACTGCCCAGGGTCCTCCTCTCCATTGACCTGTGCCTTTAGCATTTCAGATAGCAACAGCGATAGCCCTTAGACTTGTACATCGCTTCATAGTGCTTTACAGTTCTCTCTAAGTCATGGTGTCAAACTCAAGGCCTGGAGCCCGGATCTGGCATGTGGGATGCTTAGATCTGGGCCAAGGGACTGCCCTGGAAACAGCGAAGGAAGGAAAAAGAGAGAGAGAGAGAGAGAGAGAGAGAGAGAAGAAAGGAAAGAAAAGAAAAGAAAAAAAGAAAAGAAAAGAAAAGAAAAGAAAAGAAAAGAAAAGAAAAGAAAAGATGCAAGAGTCCTATAGTTGGGACTTCAAGGGCCAGAGAGAAATCTTCAGAATCAGACCCCTTTTCAGAGTGTTATATCCTGGAGGAAAAAATGTTAAAAGGAAGACCCACCCTCCAACACTCCAGGCCCAAACCAAATCAATTTAAATTCAGCAGGAACTCTTGTTGGAGGATGTGCTCCTGAACATAAGCAGAATGCCGAACAGACTTTTTTTAATGGCTGTGTGCCATCAAATAACTGTTGACTCCTAGCAACTAAGCACAGTATGGGCTTAGTCAACAACGTTCATTACACCTGAAGTAAAAATCAGATTTATTACAAAAAATAGGTAAGAGACAAAAGCCCAAACTACACCTTGAAAGAGGAAAGCCCAAGACAGACAGACCAAGAAAAGTTTCATCTGACTCTTTAAGTGCAAACATTAAGATTAAGACAGATGAGACCGGGGTGATACTGGTTCACCCCGGTTCAGGCGAACTGGTATCTAATTTTATAATTTTTAATTGCCGGTTTGGCAAACCTGGCTGGCCCCACCCACCCCTCCCAGGAGTCCCCACAGGGCCCATTTTGGATGCCAGGTAAATACAGGGCCCACACGGAGGCTCAGGGAGGCAAAAAATGGGCCTCCTGGAGGTTCCAGAAGACCAGAAACAGGCCTATTTCCAGCCACCCGAGGGCCTCCGGGGCCTGAGAAGGCCGCTTTCACTCTGCCGGAGGCTCAAGGAAAGCCTCCAGAGCCCAGGGAGGACAAAAATGGGGGCCTCGTCGTGGTGCAGGAGACCTAGGCCAGCCCAACATGGCCACACCCACCCAGCAACCAGGTAGAGAACCAGTTGCTAAATCTTTTGAAGCCCACCCCTGGATGAGACTGACACGGGGACAGCTTGTGGTATTTCTTGCCATTTACTATGACAATCAAACAGCTCAGAAGTTCCAATAAATAATTTCCAATCTCACCGCAGTTTCCATATCCATGAATTGTGTTCCCACCTATCACCCTCCCCTCCTCCATCCTGCTAAGTCAATAGCAGGAGGGGCAGGTCTGTCAAAACCTGGAAATTTAAAGATAACACCTGAATTTCAAGAGACAAGACAATGGCCTCCCCTACCAGACGGGGGGAAAAAACTGTTTTGCCTGCACCAGAAAGAAAACATCAGAAATATGTGTTTCCACCTACAACCAATCTGAGCATAGTAAAGCATTCTGGACACTCCTTTCTGCTACATGAAGTAAATAAACTTGAAAACAGTAACTTACCGTTTTCTTTCAAAAATCTAAGAGCATCTGAATATCCTTGTTCACAGAGTTTAGCTAGCAACTGAAAAGAAATGTACAGAAAACCAGTTAAGTAAATTTTAAAACTTGTGGAAAGAACATTTTACATACCTTGTGCCACTTATATTCATGGAGAAAAATATTAATGTCTTGCTTCTGGGCAAATAGGACAGAGCGTTCAGAACTAATTTACTTCCACAGACAGCCTGAGATTAAACGAATACATCCTTGAGAGAAGATTTTATGAAGATATTCCTACTCTCCATAAATTGTCTCCCTGCACAACATTAACTGGCTCTCCTTTCGCCCACACAACAGGGCACTGAGCAACATGGAAAGAAAAGACAGCAGCATCACAAGCCACGCGCAATTAACCATGCAGTCTTCCTAAGGAGCTGGTTTCTCCAAAATCACTCCTATATCCAGGGGTGGGCTTCAAAATTTTTAGCAACGGGTTCTCTGCCTGGACGCTGGGTGGGTGTGGCCATGGTGGGCGTGGCCTAGTCACCCTCCTGCAACACATGGGGGGGGGTGTTTTTGCCTTCCCAGGGCTCCGGAGGCTTTCCTTGAGCCTCTGGGAGGGCGAAAATAGCTTCTCCGGGCTCTGGAGGTTCTAAAAGCTGGAAACAGGTCCATTTCTGGCCTTTCTGAACTTCCGGGGGGGCCGTTTTTCATCCTCCCTGAGCCTCCGCACACACCCTGCACTTACCTGCATCCAAAACAGGCCATGTAGAGACTCCTGGGAGGGGCGGGCTGGGGTGGGTGGGACCAGGGGAAGTGGGATATGCTGGTTCTCCAAACTGTGAAGAATCTTAGCTAGCGGTTCTCCCGAATCCCTGCAAACCCCCAGCAGCCCACCCCTGCCTATATTGTGAGAATAACCCATGGTATCAGCTGAACCATGGCGTATTTAAGCATTGTAGAATTTCTGAATCCAGTAACAGAAAAAGAAATTTGAAACACGATGCCCGTGCAACTAAAGAAGGCTAAAAAGACAGGCCGAAAAAACAACCTCTCTCACTGTCTCATTTAAAAAAAAAGGAAAGCCAACTAATCAATTCAATATAGCAGAGTAATATTTCACACATTGGTGTGGCATCGAAGTTCTCCACCCTTTGATTATTTAGTGCAATCTTTGAGGTGTGTGGAATTAAACTTCCACAATTCTCCAGACAGCTAGAATTGAAAAACACTGAATCCACCTGATTGTATTGTGGGTTTTTTTTTTACAGTTCAGTTGTAGCCCTGGCAGTAACTATGGTAGAGTGGCATCCATGATGACCTCAAATGACATCTCACGCAGTGTCACACAAATGGCATGCATTATGTAACTCCTTATTTTTCAACCGCATGGGCATGACAAGACCTCAAAGGTTCTGGGAAACAACCTTGGATTCCTGAGAGGGAGCCTGCCATAGCAGAAATAATTCCAGAGATCATCTCCCCAGAAACTTAATTATGGACCTTCCTTTCTTCCTGTTTCTCTTTCTTTCTTTCCTTTCTTCCTTTTCTTTCGTTCTTTCTCTTTTTCTCTCCTTCCTTCTTTCCTTCCTTCCTTTTTAATCAATGGGAATGAGAAAAAGGTGTATAGGTGGTGATCCCGACATACAATTGAGCTCAAAATTTCTGTTGTTAAGTCAGACGTATGTTAAATGAGCTTTCACTCATTTTATGACCTTCCTTGCCATAGTTGTTAGGTGAATCATTGCAGTTGATAAGTTAGTGACCTGGTTGTTAAAGTGAATTTGGCTTCTCCCTTGACTTTGTCAGAAGATCACAAAAGTTGATCCCATGGCCGTGGGACACAGCAATGGTCATAAGTAAGAACCAGTTGCCAAGCATCTTCAATTTGATCACGCAAACATGGCAATGCTGCTAAGGTCATGACTGTGAAAAGCACTCCTACGTCACATTTTTCATTGCCATCATTAACTTGGAAGGTCACTAAAATTAACTGTTGTAAGTAGCGGACTACCTGTACTCAATCTCATAATGTCATTCCATTCAGCAATTATGTAAACAGCAAAAGGCGATATAATTTACTTCATGAAGAGATCGTTGCCAGCTTCTCACAGACTTCAACATGTGTTCGGTGGCTTTTTCCCTGGCTTTAAATTATATCCATATAGGAATGAATCAGACTACGTATGAGCACACACATCCTTTCAGTGGTGGGATTCAATTTTTTTTACTACCGGTTCTGTAGGCATTGTTTGGTGGGCGTGGCAGAGGAAGGATACTGTAAAATCTCCAGTCAGAGGTGGGATTTGCTGGTTCTCTGAACTACTCAAAATTTCCACTACCGGTTCTCCAGAACTGGTCAGAACCTGCTGAATTCCACCTCTCCATCCTTTATACAAACATGGGAAGACACATGTGGGTATACATATGCATTCTTTTTAAATTAATGGACAGCTTATGTTGAAGATCATATTTTTTAAAAAAATTAAGTGCAAGGAAGCAAAACAGAAAACCACTGTGCAAAACTAATTATCTACTTTTACTAAATGATAGATAACTTAACTCAAAACCTTAAGCTAGCTATGGACTTTCAAACATGACACAACAATTCAATAACCTTTATGTGTCTGTGTGCGTGCCTTTGAGTCAGTCATTCCTGGCAACTTCCTGGTCTAGTACCTACAGTTTTCAGAAGTGGTTTCCCTTTGCCTCTTCCTTCCTAAAAATGAGCAAGAGAGATTGTGTGCAAGGCAGGACTAGAACCAGTGGCTGGATTCTACCGGTTCAGACTGGTTTGGGTGAACTGGATGTTAAATTTGCATCTGGTTTGCTGAACCAGTATTTGAACCCGCCAACTGGCCCCGCCCACCCAGCCCTTCTCCTCCCAGGAGTCTCCATGCGGCCCATATTCGATGGAGGTAAGTGCAGGGTCCGCGCAGAAGCTCTGGGAGGGGGAAAAAAACAAACCTTCTGGACGTCCAGAAACGGGCCTGTTTCCAGCTTCCGGAGGGCCTCCAGAGGCTGGGGGAGGCCATTTTCGCCCTCTCAGAGGCCTGAAGAAAGCCTCCGGATCATTGGGAAGGTGAAAAACAGCCCTGCCGGAAGTTCCTGTGGGCCATGCCCTCCACTGCCATGCCCACCCAGCAACTGGGCAGCGAACTGGTTGCTGGGATTTTTGAATCCCACACCTGACTAGAACTGACAATCTCCTAGTTTCCAGCTGGGACCTCATCGCTGCACCCAAATTGGCTCTTTTCAGTAACTGCTGCATCAGCCTAAAAAGAGTCTACAATGTATTGGAATGTTTCATTGTGCTCTTTTATAAATTTAACAGCATCTGCACTGTTCCTAGTATACAGAACTGCAGAACTTTTCTACCTTGCCAATTCCATCTGTGCCAACCAGCATGGCCAAAGGTTAGGTTTGCAGATTACGAAACGTTCATTGAAGTCCTGTAACATTCTTGGGTTTTGTGCTGCTTGGAAAATATTTATATCATTGTCTCAAAATCATACAAAGAACTATCAACATGAATAAAAAGCATGATATCATAAGAGGCAAAGTTGAACATACAATACCTGAGGCTCTGGAGGAAAAAGTGCTTGAGTTAAACGATACATGTTCCCTAAGCTAAGCTGAATGCTTGTATTGGTTAGATTCATCTGGTGGAAGTTTGCAGAGTTCCCCTTGGGACAAATGTCACATTCCCCAGAGAAAGGAGAAACGGTTATGGTGTTCTTCGAATTACAGCGAGGTAAGTTGTCACTTAATCCACCGTCCACGTAACGCTTTAAGGAAGAGAGGAAGAAGAGAAACATGAAAGGCTGTACTTGCTTAATTAAGCAAAAACTCATCGTATCTGACCCATGCAAGATAAGCTTAAAAGGTTAGATAACCCTTACTAAACGCTAGGAATTAATTATTGGGATTCATCACAATGTGACAGAAAGCTACCTGAATTGGGGTGGAGGGAAGTGTTTAAAACCAAGCCTATTTTTTGAACAACAGGAGAAAATTTAATGGGGAAGGAGGAAAGATACTGGCAGCATTTTTTCAACCTTGGCAAGTTTAAGAGTTGCAGATTTCAACCCTTGAGAATTTCTCTAGCCAAAATTTTCTAGCCAGCATGCTTGCTGGGAACTGAAGTCCACATATCTTAAAGATACCAAAATTGATAAAACATTTGGTTCTGATATAACTTACTGCACCTCACTATTTAAAGGAATTGCTACGTATATTATCACTTTCTTAAACAATTCTTGTTCTACTTAGAATTTAAATAAGGCTACCATTTGATTGTCAAGTTTTAATTTACTATTTATCAGGATCAATCTGCTATGATTCAACAATTTCATTTTTGCCATTTCTGTCCAGAGTTTATGACCTCAATCCTCTACTGCACCCATCTTCTACACTTCACAACAGTAATACAATAGATAGAATAGAAAAGAATTCATTATTGGCCAAATGTGGCAGAGAAATAAAAGTGTGTTTGGAAATTCAGGAAGCATGTATTATATTTTCTCACTTGGCTAAACTCTTTTAGATGATGGCACAGTCAAGTGAACTAAGAAAATCTATCTAAATAGATACCCCCCCCCCAAAAAAAAATATTTGTATCATCAAACCACACTGAAGTATTTGTAAGAAAAATTAAAACTATCATACGCAAACTGACCTAGCTCAGGGTCCCAAATCGACTACTGGACCATGGGCTATTTGGAATTGGGTCACGCAAGTGGCTGGCCAGAGCACGGAGGCATGTGTGCCCAGTCAGCTTGCGTGAGCAGCAGATTGGGAGGGCACTCGTGCACACACCAGCACGCTACTCGCGCAAGTTGAGCTGCGTGTGTCTGGGCTGGCCCGCCACTTGTGCTAGGGCTGCTGCACGCGTGGCTCAGTTTCCCTCTTCCCCCACCCAGCCAGGCCCCAAAGCCACAAAGGTTGGGGATGGCGGAACGAGCTATTATCTGCTCCAGAACACTTGCATCGGTTTACCTTTCTTATTACTAAAGCAGAAAAGCAACAAGTAATGATTAATACTGACATAGTTCCTTTTTAGCCAAGATGCGGATACTCTTTAAACTTCCACGCCTGGCCCTGAAATACATTGCACAAGGGAGTACTTTAAGGTAAGAGGATTAATCATTAGCATTCATCTTCAAGAGAGGGTTTTTTTTTTTTACTGTTATGCAGGTCAGTTCTCAACAGTCTCCTTTCCAAACAACAACCGTATTTGTGCCCTGCAAATCTCTGCAGATATCTAGCACTTAACTCTAAAATCTTGCAGTAGGTACACAGTACCCAGAAGCACAATGAACTCACATATCAATGTACTGTACCTGCGTAAAGTCTTACCTCCAATACCCAAGGTGTGACATGATACAAGCCTTAGGTAGTAAGAAGAGTGAAGAATGCAAAAAGAGGAGTTTGGGACCATAAAATCAAATATGTTAGCCCACCCTGACCATAACTGATGAAGATTGGCAGCATGGCTTCCCATTTTGATATAACATTGCTATGCTTTAAAGAATGGGCATCATCCAGACTCCCTCTAAAAACCCTAAGGAAAAGAAAGGCACTTTAAAAAGCACTATTATACCTTTGAGACAGAATACAGGTAGTCGTCAACTAATGACCACGATTGAGCCCAACCTCTCTGTTGCTAAATTAGACATTTGTTAAGGGAATTCTGCTCCATTTTAGGATTTTTCTTGCCACAGCTGTAAGTGAATCACCACAATTGTTAAGTTAGTTTGTTATTGGTTGCTATGATTAAAAGACCCCGGGACATTGAAACTGTCATAAATATGAACCACGTGACCAGGTGTCATGCCCTTGGTGGAGACTGACTCTGAGGGAGAAGAGGAACAGCCAACAGGGAGTGGAAGTGTGGTTCTGGAGGTTGTGGAGGAGGCTGGGGAAGGGCAGAGGCCAGCTGGGCAGTCAGAGGAGGACCCAGGCCCATCCCCTCTCCATCCTAGGGCACGCAGGGAGGAGAGGATAAGGGAGAGACGTGGTCTACTCGGGAGGAGAGGGCCTTGATCCTCTTCATAGGCTGCAACTGTGACAACTGAATAAGAGAACGGATGTGCGTACAGGTGAATGCTGGAAACAAAGCGTGGAAATATCTCTTAATTTATGGTTCCTCTCTTGAGTTTGGCATCCTTCCCAGTGTGTGTTATCTGTGGACATCCTCCAGCCCTTATTTTGCCTGCTTTTTTTCCTTCTTCTTGTAACTGTTTGTGTGGGAGTTTTTTGTCTTCAGAGCTTGGAAGGAAACTGAAGGAATAAAAGGGGCTTCACCTGTTTTCTGTGACTGTGTTTGTTTTGTATCCCACCCTGGGTCATCACACCGGGAGGGGAAGTTGCAACAGTTGTAAGTGTGAAAAACGGTCATGAGTCACTTTTTTCAGTGCTGATGTAATTTCGAACAGTCACTAACGAACTGTTGTATGTCGAGGACTACCTCGATCATGTAACAAAATCTAGTTTTAAATCAAATGATCGTGGCATTCAATACGCAGATTTTTTTTTAAAAAAAAAAATCAAATATTTTCACAGAGCTCTCTTATTGGTACACTTTCTTTCACACTTCTTCCCACAACTCTAAATAATATCTGTTATTTCCGCCACATGATTTTCCTTCACCCTGAGGATTGCCACATTTTAATTCTGAAGAGGAAAACCTGCCGTCCCATCAAATTACACCAAGTTTCAGCTCAGTTTATCTCAATAAATCTCATGCTGATTTAAAACCAATAAACAATCCTTACCACTCCTCTAAATGAAGGTGGAATGAGGCCACAATATACCGGTACAAATGAGCTACAAAGCAGGGCCTAGGAAAGATTTTTTTTAAAAATAAAGATTAGTTATAATTATTTCTAATTGCAGGGGGGGAAACATCTTATAACAGTGGTGGCTAACCTTTTTGGGCTTCTGTGCCAAAAATTGTGGGTGCGCTTGCATGCTTGCTTTTGCATGCCAGCACCCAGAAGGCAATGCACGCCCCTGCACCCCCCCTACACATTCGTGTGCAATTCCCCTGCCATAGCCCCCTTACTTGCACTGCACCTCACAGCTGATTTTCGGCCGGTTTGAGGCCTTTTTTGGCCTCCCAAAGGCTTGAGGAAGGCTACTGCAGGCTTCAGCAAGCTTTGTAGGATGAAAACTAGCTCCGTTTCATCACTTCCTGTTTTTCCAGAAATACTGGAACTGATGAAATGGGGCTAGTTTTCAGCCTACAAAGTTGGCTGAAACCTGCAGAAGCCTTCCTCAAGCCTTTGGGAGGCAGAAAAAGGCCTCAAATAGGCTGAAAATCAGCTGTGAGGCACGCACATGCGCAGTAAGGAAAGTTTGCCTGCAGCTCGCGTGCTGGCACAAATGGCTCTGCGTACCATCTGTGGCACACGTGCCATCTGTTCATCATCACGGTCTTATAACAATGCAGGTCACAAATCTAATTCCTGTGGAGAAGGCTTTCAACTGATCAGACTGCTGACTCCTGGGGATAGGATGCCCCATGTTTGTAAATATAATAAGATTAAAAACAAAATAGTGATAGTACAGAACATACCTGCACAACCTCTTCTTTAGAATTAAAATCAGATATTAATATGTTTTCCCCATCAGACACTCTTGTTAGAGAAATTGAAAGTTTATCTGATAACAATTTGTAACTGTTTTCGGGGAGATTTTTGTAGAGGCCATCTCTTATTATTTTCATCACGTTGAAGGAAGGATGAAGAGGACCGAGATTTCGTTTCCTGGCTTCTTTGGCGAGACCCAAAACATCTGCACAAGCTTGTGCTGAAAGATATATAAGCATCATGAGACAAGGTGTCAGATATAAGTATTCCTTTCAAATGCATTTGTTTGCCATTCTTTCATTTTTAAATGTTTTTAAAAGAGCAAAAGAGGGAAGAATGTGTCTTAAAATATTCCAGAGCTAACATTCATTCCATAACCACCTGATTTTATTAATACCATCCAGATGATGGCATCCTTTCCTATGCAGGTATCTGGCATCGTACAAAAACCTCAGTGAGAAAAACTCTTACCTGTCTGCAGAGTGAGCTGCAGATTCTCTGTTCAACTAAAACACCAGCAAGAGAAAATTGGTCTTGTTTCAACTGGAGGCAAATATATATATATTTGCAACTTGTTTCTGTGTTCTGTCTCATTACTCAATTTCCATTTTGTAACTTTTCTCTCTGCCCTCCTCTCCGTGGTTCCAAGATGAATCTATCTAGGATCCCAGGGCCATTTGGAGCTCAACAAAAGAGGGTCGAGAGCTTAACTTGTTCAAGAAAAATGCCATCTTCCTAACAGGAAATCCAATCTGGCACTCAGCTGACTTAAGATGTTTGTATGTGATGCAAGATAAATTAGGATTCCATTAGTAAATATTTCTCTTGACAACTGGCTGAAGAGAGCTGAAGGGCAGCGCTGCGCATGCCAAAGTTTTGGAGGGAATCTATAGTATCTACACTGAAACTACCCTACTGGAGGTATAGCTCAGCACCTCATGGGAAATTTGGCATCTTCAGATATGCCTCAGCTAATGGATGGCCCCAAAAATGGAACAGGACACACACTTTCTATTCAACTAAAGAAAATCAACCTCATGAGGGAACCTGAAAACTAGATTGGCATGAACAGATAATCTAGGCAGGGCTGGGCTGCTGAGGGTTCGCAAGGGTTCAGGAGAGCCACTAGCAAAGATTCTATGCAGTTCAGAGAACCCCAAATCCCACTCCTGGCTGGCCTGGCCCACCCCACCTCTCTCCTCTCCTCCATTTTGGATGCAGGGCGCACATGGAGGCTCGAGGAGGGTGAAAAACGGGCCTCCCGAAAGTTCTGGAAGACAGGAAATGGGCCTGTTTCTGGCTTCCAGAGAGCCTCCGGAGCCTGGAGAAGCCATTTTCGCCCTCCCGGAGGTTCAAAAAAAGCCTCCGGAGCCCGGGAGGACAAAAACGCCCCCCCTCCCCCCCCATGGTGCAGGAGGCCGACTAGGCCATGCACCCAGGCGACGCTCACCCAGCAAACCGGGAAGAAAAGCCATTGCTAAAATTTTTGAAGCCCACCCTTGCTCCTAGGCCTGACTTATTTTAATTTTTAAAAGAAATACACATTTTCTTTGTAAGCTATAATCAAAGCCGTTGGCTTTCTAATGTTGGCTGACCTTGATTACTTTCCTGGATATAATTTGTCACCAGGCTAGATAATATGACGGGTGCCAGGGAGAGGGAAATTGGCTGATTGCTCTCTCTGGCGTCTCTGAATATTGGCTGCAGGAGAGACTGTTTCCTAGGTTGTTTTTTAAATTGTTGTTTTTGAACAATAGGCAAATTGGGCTTGCCTTCTGTGTCAAACAACACTCAAGCATTGCTCATATTGATAAGATTGACAATTACGCTACTTCTGAAAATAAGGATGGTTAATTTATTGATAAGAGCTACAAAATCTGGCTGGTAATTTATATCAAAATATTTGTTTTTATTCTCTCTTTCAAATCAGGAGATCCAACTCTTGAATCATTTGAAACTTGGGGTTAATTTGCAATCTCTTCTACAACGATAGTATTTGTTTTTTAAAATATAATGAATGTCTGTCATTTTTACCAGTATTGAGTGAAATATCTACATATACTATCAATTTACTGAAAAATTCTTCCTTTGTTTAGTTTGAAACATCAGTTCAATTACTACTTTAAATGAAACTGAAATACTGTACTATGAACATATTAAAAGAAAAAAATGGTGAAAAGGCAAACGGGTTAATTCTTCAAGCAACAACAGCTCCCCAAAATATGGTGTGGCAACATACAGACCCAAGGCCAGATACAAACAAAATATCTAATAAAAAGTATTTTTCCAGGCAAAAACTCAATAAATGATCTCTCAAGTCACCTAGTCTTGTGCTACCATTTGTGAAAAATGCCACACCATAAGTTAGGTTTGGAATGTCTTACAGGTAGTCCTCTACTTACAACCAAAACTGACCCCCAAATTTCTGTTGCTAAGCGAGACAGTTGTTAAGTGAGTTTTGCCCCACTTTATGATCTTTCTTGCCACCGTTATTAAGTGAATCGCTGAGGTTATTGCGTTAGCAACACAGTTGGTTAATGCTTTTCAGAAGGTCACAAAAGGGAATCACGTGACCCTGGGACATGGCAACTGTAATAAGTGCATACCAGTTGCCGAGCGTCCAAAATTTGATCATGCGACTTTGAGGATCAGAGGTAGTATTCAGCAGGTTCTGACCAATTCTGGAGAACCAGTAGAGGAAATTTTGAGTAGTTCGGAAAATTGGCAAACACCCCCATCTGACTGGGGGTGGCCCCATCTATCCTCTGCCTCCCGAGTCCCAGCTGATCAGCTGAGTCTCCTTTTGTTGCCCTGCACAGGAGAACGGAGCTGGAAAGCAGGTTAGTGGGGTGGGGAGGGAATAGAGATTTTGAAGTAACCTTCCCCCAGGAGTAGGGAGGGAATGGAGATTTTGCAGTATCCTTCCCCTGGGGTGGGGAGGGAATGGAGATTTTACAGTGTCCTTCCCCTGCCGCACCCACCAAGCCATGCCCACAGTAATAGTAAAACAATTTGAATCCCACCACTGATAGGGATATTGTATAAGTCACTTTTTTCATTGTTACTTCGGTCACATATCAAATGGTTGGAAGTCAAGGACTGCCAATATAATAGTACTTTATTTGCATTTATTTCAGTATTTTTAATTATTCTTAGAATTCTACTGCATTGTCTTTCTTATATGCAGATATATAGCAGGATGTACTGTTTATTGTTCTGTTTTGTTTGCATTTGCCCTTAGGGCTGTAATAAACTTAAAGAATAACCATTAATCAGAGGGAGTATTAAAATAAGAGGAAGTCTGCTATGGAGCCAGGTCCTTTATATTCACAGATTTGTTTCGTGGGCCAAGGCTGAAATTGAATATTTATTTGTATTTGATTTGATTTGTCAATCGCTTACAAGATAATAGGTATAAGTATAAACATGAGTAAGAATACAGGAAATAGGTACGAATAAATGGGGATAATTGGACAGGGACAGTAGGCAGGATTGTGCATTTATGAATGCCCCTTACAGACCTCTTAGAAATGGGGTGAGGTCAATAGTGGATATTTTAAGGTTAAAGGAATGGGGGGGGGGGTTACAGGATGTAACAACAGAGTCATGTAGTACATTCCAGGCATTGACCACTCTGTTGCTGAAGTCGTACTTTCTGCAATCAAGTTTGGAGCGGTTTACATTGAGTTTGTACCTGTTGTGTGCTCTTGTATTGTTGCGATTGAAGCTGAAGTAGTCACTGACTGGTAATATAATACAAGTGTAATAGCAGAGTTTGGTTGTAAGAGATGAGAGACTTCCCTTCTGAATTAGCCATAATGAAAGATGTACTTTGGTAGCTTATCAAAGACTTGCTTAACCAATGACCTTCCCAGCTTTTTGCTAGATTAGATGTTGTCATTGGGGGCATCTGTTAACTCTGCAAAAATCTGTCCAGGAATCTGGTAAGTGAATGCCCTGCAGTAACCTATTTGGCAAAGGGAGATAAGGGGGTGGCCTGAGGTATCTGCTGAGCCTCAGCTTATTTTCCTGACCCAATCAGGAAAAGGCATTTGCGTTTTTATTATGGGTTGCCCTAACCCAGTCACAACTTTTATCCTCTTTCACTTCCAGAGAAGAAGTTAAGAGTCAAACTTTCCAAAAGGAGTTTGACCCGAAAAGAGATGGCTCAATCAAAAAAAAAAAACACATGAAAGGGAACAGCCTGAAAACCAGCTGTAGTCCCCAATTGCTTACATACTGATGAATGAAGCATTATTATTACATCTGTCTGTCTGCATCTGTATACACACACACACACACATACCGCAGGGTAGTTATGCCTAGAGAAAAGAAATGCCTTCCAGAAAGAGAAAAGTTTACCCAGACATTTTAACAAGTGATTTGCAGACACAAACTAAATGCCAGTTATTCATGTCTCTTTTAGCACATGTGTCTTTCAATCCACTTGGCTCTTGTAACTGTCTGGACAAGTCGGCCATTTTCTTGGCAATGTTTTGGGAAATGTTTTGCCCCTGCCTTCTTCCCAGGGCTGAGAGAGTAACCGGCCCAAGATCCCCCATCTGGTGTTATATCCAAGGCAGGACGAACTCATAGTCTCTGTCTCTATCTCAATGTCTTAACTGTTTCACCAAACTAGCTCTCATGTCTCATTTTAAAATGCAGCATTGAAGCAAAGTAAAGCTCTTTCAACTCTAGTTTTGGGACTTCATGGCTGCATCTACATATTTTTCTTACCCATCGCATGGATCCTATGCACTTCTAGATTTTTCAAAAATATAGTATTTTCCTTTTGCACTTTGCTTCTACAGTCCTTGAATGTATTGATAGGTATAACCCCATATGTTATGTTTTAGAAACAATCCTTAAAATCCATTTTTAAGTGCTTTCAATTAATAAGCACAGATATTTTTTTCTTCAGAATCCTGTATTTCCAAAAGCCCACATCTGCATTCTACTATTCTTCCTCCAATGGCATATACAACGGGTATAGATAATCTACACAGTGTTAAAATGCCTGGTTTTGAGATGTAAAAATCAGACCAAGATTAAATCACTTCAGAATTCTTTCCACCTTTAATGTAACATATAAGCTGTACAATTCAATTGAAAAACAAACTGAAATCTTTTTTGGGGGGGGGAATAACCATAACATTTAGAATAGCATGGCTGCATAACTATTCGCACCCTCTTATATGTAGGAACGTGGCAATGTCCAGA